GTGGCACTAGTGTACATAAGTCATAGTCGGTACCTTCGGTTTTTTTATCATAGCAGTTTGCTTTGGTCAGGTAGACGTTTCAGTATTGAAACTACATCAGTACCACATTTGGGCACGTTTATCTTGCATATTGATTTAATCTTAATTTGGCTGTCGACGATTTCCTGCAAAATTTTAATCTTTCTGAAACTTTCTTCCTGATATCATATACTATTTTACCATTTGGCATCAAGAATTATATTTGGCGCAGAACATACCTTAACTTTCCGATTCAAGTTCGGACAATGTCCCGATCTTAATTTACTGTGTGCCTGTTAATTTTACTGTTGAGCGAACAGAGGAGTAATTGCGAATATTTCTGAATCTATTGATGTTAGCCCGAAAATGATCAAAGTTAGATTGTAGAGTAATTTTAGAGGTATTTAGAATCAAGCCCAGTCTTTGCAAATATTTCAGGGACTTTTATTTTGTCATTTCCTATTACCTTACCTCGCATTATTTCCCTAAATCTTTTCTGGTGTATTGTAATTTTCTGAGAGAAATTTTCTCTCAATTATCGACCGAGTCAGTCCTATACCGCCTCTGTAAATAGGACAGGCTATTTTGGATACCCACTCGAAATCACCTTTTCTTCCTTTAAATTAAAGCTTTATTTTCTAATGAATCGAGCGTTGAGTTAATTAATTGATGGTCTGACAATTTTTCCTTCTCCTATTCACTTTCCGTCTCTGAGCCAAGGTAAAATAGTCGTGTTGAGTAAGCCGTACCGTTTCAAGAAATGAACCGATAGAGTTCCTTCACTCCGCCCTCTCCGAAGTTGGCGCATGCGCTCTGAGCTAGCCGACCGCGCCGCACCAGCCGCCCGAGCAAAGGGCCGGCCGAGAGACGTTTCGTGTAGATTTTGGGAATTTGTGAAATTTTGTTGAAGTTTTGAAAATTGGCCTCCGAGGGAGGCCTGGCGCCCAATTTCTGGGGTATTAGTGGAAGCGACTCGGAGTGTCCTGGCGGACTCCGAGGATTCGTGAATTTTAGAGTTTTAGATAGCCTCTCGAAGGGTCCCGGTGGGCTTCGGGAGGTTGCGCGATAGTGGGAGAAAGAATAGTCTCTCGGCAGGCCCCGCTCGAAGCGACCGGGCGAACGTGATGCGCGCAAGAGGCCGAGATGCAGCGGGCCTCGGCAGGGGTAGATAGACCCGGGGGTAATTGCCACGTCACAACGTATAATATACATAACTATTCCACGCGGGATGCATATTATATATCTGCTGAACGTTAAAAAATACGTACACCATATCTGTAGACGGCGCGGATATTTGTACATGCCTCAACACATTCCGTATACTTATATACACAACACATATATTGGTTATGTTGCCAAAAAGGGTCACAGGGTTGCCAGGTTGCCAAACCGGGACTCGAAGCATAGAGGGTTGTGCTCTTCAGAGGCGTCATTAACATAATTGTATTCTTGAGACCGCAGAAACTAACCTGCGGGAACAAGACCCACGTATCGAGTGACACGAACTGCAACAATTGTGCGCGGCAAAATCACGTCACTCAGCCCGATTCTCGAAATAGGTATTTCAAGGCACGCGACTCGGTACAAAACGGCGTCGTGAACCCAAACCTAAGTTTCCCATTACTAGCAAGTAAAACGGAAGGGAAACTTTCTCAAAGTTCATCACATTCTCAAACCAAGATGGCGGACGCACGAATCAGCAACAAGAAACAACCGGCCACGAGGGAGGAAGACCATCACTGCGAAGAGCGAAGATTCCCAAACTTCCGGAACGTCACCACAATAACAAGGACCGGGACGGAGGCAGCAGAAGAGGAACCAATCGCCGTCACGTGGAACGACTTTGGCGCCGCGAAAGTGACGTCATCAACGAGCGCATCAATGGGATGGAAGCCAGGTTCCGACAACAGGCGGAGGAACTGCAACGGGACATCGCCAAATTGACTTTTCGGACCACAAGTTCTAACGGACGAGCTGAGAGAGACAGGACACGTCACCAGACCAGCTGTCATACTGGAGCAGCGAGAGGAACAACGTACAGCGGATTACACCCCGACGCATGACATCAAGCTTCAAGGGCACACCATGGGAAAGGCCGATTAAATTCTTACTGGAGTTGAAAAGATATAGGTAATCGCTGGAACCGGCCTACGACTTCAAGACGCTAGTTACTCAGTGCCTCTGTGGTGCAACCAAGGACTGGTGAATGCTTCAGGAATACGATGTCGAAACATTTGACCAATTCCAGCAGCAGTTTAAAAGGCGCTACTGGAACGAAGACATCTAATATAAAATCCGCGAAAAATTAGAATTCGGAATATACAACGACGGCAAGAAGACTAGTAGGACCGAATACGCGATAAGGCTTATAGGCATGGTTCGCGAGGTCGACCCACCGCTGAGGGAAGACCAAATTATTAATCGATTAAGTCGGCACTTCTACGAAGATATTCGAGTCGCCGTTATTTCAAGAGGAATCACTAAGACGGATGACTTCCGGGATCTACTAGAGCGATTCGATCAGTCCGGAAGGAAAAACGTGAAGAGAGCATCACGGCCCAGGCCCGAGGCAGATGCATACGCCACGAAAGATGGCAGATCGTTCATCCACAAAGGACACAATGTGGAGCGGAGTGAGCACTACAAGTCTAAGCAGCCGCCACCGAGCAGATCGGACGATAGCAGGAACCGCTGGGAGAAGAAAAATCAAGAGGCCTGGAAGAACCTGCGAGCACTAGTCCAAACCGAAGAATATGAAGCCAACGCGAATACAACCGAGCCGACGGGAAACGAATAAGCACCGTACCCCAGAATTCCCCACCAACCACGAACGCGATGTGACAAATCGGAGAGGATACCTGAGAAGCCGAGGACGTAGGAAAATAGAGCGAAAAGATCCGGTGCCCAGTCCTACATATAAAAATTGGCGAAGTTGGAGTTGACGCTTTCATAGACACGGGAAGCGAAGTAAACGCGTTTTCCGAAAAATTTGTAGTGAACAATAAGAAGTACTTCGGAAAAATACCCATATTACCCGTGACCGGACTGACGATAAGAGGTGTAACCGCAGCAGTCCCATCAAAAGTAAAACAGCAAGTCTTCACGGAATTCACAGTGCAAGGGGTGACAGTAGCAGACGTATTCCTCGTAATTTCCAAACTAACAAGCACATGTATCATTGGGATCGGACTGCTCACCCAACTGCAGACAACGATTAATCTAAAACAAAATATCATAACCTTCCACAATGAGCAGGACGCCATCCCAGTAAAATTAAAACGAAAGCATCCCGCGTCAGTTGAGGACACAACCTCGAAACTCGAAAACGAGGTATGCGACGCCTCAGAAGAAAAAATAATCACCAAGATAAACGAAATAGAATGACCGAATAACCAGGAGCGAGGGACCTTAAGACAACTCATCCTCGACTACAAGGACGGCAAGCGACCAGGTAAACTAACTATGTACCAACATCGACTTGAGGGGGTGCCACATACTCCATATGCAAACAAGCCCTACCCGATACCATCGCGCATAGAGAATAGGTAGCAGAAGAGATTAATCGAATGTTAGAGCTCGGTCTAATTCAGCACTCCAACAGCCCATATGTAAATCCTCTCGTCGTGGTCCACAAGAAAGACAGCAGCTTGCGACTGTATTTAGACGCGAGAAGACTTAACTCCATCCTCATAGCATACTCAGAGTGCATGCAAAAAATGGAAGTCCTCTTTCAGAAGCGCACCAACGCAAACATGATGTCCACTTTGGATCTAACGTTAAGCTTCTGGCAGGTTCCACTGCACCCAGATTCGCGCAAATACACGGCGTTTCTACACCAAGGACGCAGTTACGAGTTCGTCGTCACACCGTTCGGACTCAAAACCAGCACCGCATCCCTAGTCATAGGACTGGGACCCGTCCTGCGGAACTTTTCAGAAGTAATCCTCAACTTCGTGGATGACATCCTCTGCACATCACGAACCTTCGCGCAGCACATCGAGCATCTATGGAGTCTGTTCGAAAGGCTTCGTAACTTACCGTACACTTCACCCCCCTGGCAAACGGGTTTAAAACGCTCAAGGAGACGAGGCACCAGGTGCCGTCCCTCACGAGCTAAAAATCTTGCCCTTAGTAGGCAGGTGGAACCGAGCACCCAAGGAAAACGCCAGCAAAGCGCCCGGTCGGGATACCTCGGACCACCTGCGAACGGCGGCCCAAGTGACGGATTCCCCTTCCGGGAATCTTCGTTAAACTTTTCGGAAATTCGACGGAGCGACTCGCACATTGTGAGGGGTGTGGCGGCAAGGCGCCGTTCCCCAGCCACACGGCAGCGAGATAGTCCGCGTCCCGGTCTCACGTTCTCGCGTCTGCCCCCTCGGTGTGACGTCATTGCGACATTCCCCGGGTGTTTGGTTGTGCGGGGCAACCCAACCTTTCGCTGCAACGTTCTTCCACACTTACACTCCGAGGGCGTTCCGGCATGGCGCCGTTCCCCCTTTGTTAAAGGGTAACGGAAACACATTGCATAAAGTGTGACCGTGAAGCTCGCCCACACAAAATCTGGGATAGTTTAAAAACACAAAACGAACTTACAGTTAAAAACCTTACGGACACAACAGACAGATACACAGAGACCCTTGATAACTTCGGATCCACGACCGAACCATCCTCAGACGAGACATATATTCAATCCTTGCATTCCCTTTCACACGGCTTTCGCTGATGAAACATTCTTAGAGGCTGAGGCTCTGCGCCACTGAAAGTCCAAGCTAATCTGAGATTGCCGAAAGGAAATCTAGGGTGAGCCAAGAAGGCAAATAAGACACTTCCTCGCGACCGACCGACCGACCGGGCGGGGGGAGGGGGGGGGGGGCAGGTACGCGAGAAAAGTTACAATATGTTTATGCCAGATATCTTATATACATATAACATATAACATATATTCATTCCGTGTGGGCAATACCATAGACAATGATTCTTACCGCAGTTTCTTTTTGTAAGAGTATTGATTTCATCTTGAAGTTTCCTTGTTGCGGTGTTAGAATCAGGAGAAACAGTGGGAGAAGCATGTGCAGTGCCAACTTGATTTTTTAAATCAGCTACTGCTTGAGCTAGATGCGCATTCTCCTCTTCCAAGAGTTTCACATTTTTATCCTTCTGAGGCATTGGTAGCGATCCTAAATCTGATATGCAGCTGTAAAACCAATTATTTTTGTTAATAGCATAACGCAATCAAGAAACTCGTAGTATTGCATGTCGAACGAAACGCGCGTTGCACGCTTGAGCTAGCATGATACCCTGTCGAAAATCTATACATCTAGGTTCCAATTTACAGGAGGGATGAAAATCGGAATATATTCTCCCCGATACGAAAGAAAAGGAAATTAACACTTGACCGGCTTAAAACATCTGGAATCTTTTTTTTTAATATACCCGACTCCAATCAGTGGTATCTACGTAAAGATATAGCAATTTCAATTTCGAGGTACGTTCAGAATCGTAATTTATCAGCGTCGAACCTCTGAAATGCGCAGTAACTACATCAATTTCACATCCCTTGATAGGTGAACTTCCATACGGTTTCCGTCGACATATTGATGTGCTCAGTGCGTAATTAAGTCACGTAGTTAATGTCAGTAAATTAACTACATCATTTATGTTTTTGCAACGCGACAACCAAGCCAAGGCAACCCAAGGCGAGCAAAGCCTACCCTTTGACCATATATATCTCTAGACCTGGCACTGCACTTCCCACTCCTATATTTTGAATAAGCAGAAAGACAAGCTGTGTGGGTGAGAGGTCGGCTTACGTGCTACATTTGTTTACCCCTACCACTGCAATGCGAAGTCTACACACATGTGGTCAAAAGTTTAATCTTTATACGTACAAGATGCACACTACTTCGTGCAATCGGTTCACCTGGTACATTAGAGTTTATCCCTTCCACTGCAATGCGAGGACTACATATCTATGGCCAGAGAGCTTACCCGAATCGAATCGTAATTTCTGTTCCGTAGTAATGAATATTATTATTTTTCGGATGCTGACTTCAAAGAGAGCTTCGCTGTCGTGTTGTAATTAGATAAAGCTTATAATCAAAGAAAACGTGTTAGTCGATACCTTGCAGGTATTTATCATATATGGATAAATTCCTAGAATAGGTTAATTGCTGAATTCGTTTTTCACATAGCGACTTCTGTTTCATGGGAATAATGTTTCCACAGATAAGTATAAATAAATTCGGCCTCCAGTCATAGACGTATATGGACCGCTCACTGGTTGCCGCTCGCAGAACGGTGAGAAAACGAGAACCGGGACCTGCTCACTCCCACCAAATCTCGCGAATGTTTATCCCCCCCGCTTTATAACTTTGGAGCAAGCCACGAGCGGCGCTGACAGTTCTGAATAAATGCGCATACGCAAAGAAAGCGTTGCCATGACGACGATTGACTGACACTTTAAGAATGAAATGGCTCATGCCAACGTGCAAGTAAAACTTGCGAAAGCATCTATCAAACAGTTCTTGCCATAGCATACGGTTTTGGAAGTGAACTAGCATAAGAACTCGTATCCTCCGGCAAGCGCTTCAAACTCGGAAGCCAGTTCGTGTACATGTCAGCTTACGGAAGTTGAAGTTACGCAAGTCGGCTTCAAAATCTTACTGAAAGTTGCGCACAAATTTGTGTGTTATAAAATGTAAAGTTTGTGACGAGAACATTCGAGCGATCGAGCTAGAGTCGACTAGACTCTTCTCGATCGTTCTGTTTACGTGTCGAGGGTCACCGGCGCCGACGGTTGGCCCTCCCCGGGCCCCGCTCGGACCGATTTCGAGGAACCTCAACGGAATTCGACCAGCGAGATCCTCCTCTTTCATCGACGGATCGTGTGAGCGCACACTTCGCGACCAAAAAAGAAATTTCGGACCCGAGAGGTACAATTCGATCCGCGGTACTGTGTCGTTCGCGGGTGACTAGAAGTTCTTCGACTAAGAAGCCCTTTTCTTCTCTCCTCTGATATCCAAAAGATCCGGTTCGAAGGACCAGCAATGAAGGACTAAGTCTTTAACTGAACTCTTCATTGTTTCCTCTCTCGTCACGCGAAGACTCTCGAACCCGCGTGTCGCATCCGAACCGGTCCCTCTAAGCGGAAACTCGTAGCCGGCCGTGGCCCGAAAGTCGAGAAGATCACCCGGATCGACGTTTCCGTCGAGACGCCTGGCGCCCACCGATCATCTTCGGCACGCGGCCCCTCGCGTAAGGCCCGTGCCGCGTCGCCGATTTGACTCGAAAAAATTCCCCGGGTGCCCGAAATGTTGTCGACGTGGCTCCCGCCTCGACACCGCGTCACACGTTTAATAAGTAAATTATTATTTTCCTTTACACTTTACTTACTTTCCTTTAGGGGAGTCACCGGTCTATAAGTATCTCTTGTCTATGACGAGAACTGTTGCAATCAAGAAACTCGGTAGAGTTTCGAGCCAAATACATTTTTGAGCGAGAAACTTGTAGTGTTGAGCGATGCGAGAAACGCGCCCTGCGCGTTGAGTTCGAGCGAGACGCTACAGTGTTATATACAGTAAGGATCAGGATTTCAGGAGTGGGAAAAATGAAAATATAATTTCTTCTTTGTTACAGATAAAGAACTAAACTTTCGATCAACTCAAAAAATTCAGCAAAAATTTAGGAATTTTTTAAAATTTACCCGACTCTGATTGCTGCTATGTATGTAAAGATATGGCACGATAAAGTTATCGGCACTCTCAGAATCGTTGTTCTCATATCGTCATCGTCGTCCCTCCAATCACGAACTACCATTTTTACACTCACATGACAGGTCAACCCTGATACGACTTTTTGTACGACATTCGATAGCGCCCCTCGTGGAATGATAATGAACTGCGGCGCTCAGCCCTGCAACGATCGACGATCACACCGAGTACGACGCGTCAACGCATCGAGGATGAAAAACCAATCAGAATTGCGCTTAACTTCGTGGTAACATTCGTTGCAGTTCTGATAGGTTGTCATCCTCGACGTGTTAACACGCTGTGCTTTATGTAGAACACAATGCACTCACAAGGAAGGTACCTGAGGTGTCCCCCTCCGATTTTGTTCATTTTTAAATA